AAATTTGTTCGAGAAATTATTTGTTGGATACGAAAATAGAATCAAAAATGTCTTATAGAAAGGTCTTGAATATTCCTATGACAAGATGATAAAGTTTCTTGACATTTTTCTGCATGTCCAGAAAATGAACCAAAACACTTTATCATCTCGTCATAGGAATATTCAAGACCTTTCTATAAGACATTTTTGATTCTATTTTCGTATCCAACAAATAATTTCTCGAACAAATTTAATAAACTTGAAGCGATAGTGCTGAATTTGTTATCAGCTGCGTTTGGCGTCATCTTTACCAGAGACTCGGACCGAGCGTGGCCAGTGGTTAGCGAGTCCGGATTGTTGATCAGAAGGTTCATTGTTTGCACCCCTTGCCACAAAAACGATCTCTGCACTTTGGGGAGTGCCAAATTAGATGACAGTTAAAATTTAACTATTCGATCAGATAAAAGTAGTCCAAGAGTTAGTGGTGGGAGCTGTGATTAGGCTGCCTTCTCTTTGTTATATCCGTTCAAAATTAAAGAGAGCTATGCACAGATAGCCCTTATGTAGCTTTGCGCTAAAATTCTAAGCAAATAAAGAAAAAAAAAAGACTATTTAACACGTAAGCCTCTTCCACTGGAAGTCTAAACAATAATGTAAAAATATTGTTTTTGTATTTGAAGAATTTCATTACTTTTTTGGGTACGTGCCAAAATTCGTGAAGGGTCCAAGGCTCGAGACGTTGTGCACTTTCAGCTGTAGGTGCATTTTAAAGTGAAAGCCAATCCCATTATTCGATTCAGAGAGTTGGGTAAAGTCCTTATAGCAGCGAATATTGCTGCTTGGCTGCCTTTTCTCTGGTCAATAGTTCAAAATTAGGGACGGCTATAACTGAATCCCGTGTGTCTCTGACCTGACCGTTTAGTCCACGCACGCGTAATAACGAAAAGTCCGAATTGACTTTCAAATATATGTGTGTAAAATGTATCTGTGTAAATACTCTAACTAGAAGTTGTAGTGGTCTGTCTTTTTAAAAAATGACTTATTATCAACGTAAGGAAGAACCAGAATTTCGTTTTGACTTTTAAATGTGCGAAAAGTGAAAGAAGGTTTCTTTTTTTTTATGTTCTAAAGTTTGTTAAGTGCATTCTGAATATTATTCTCAGTGAATTTCAGAGGATCGTTTGTGTTTTTTGGAACACTTTTTATATTTTGAAACTTTCTCGTTGAAAAAACGATGACTTTCTGACACAAAGTTAAAAGTTCTGAAAATATTCATAAAGTCATACTTGAAGAATTCGGGAACAAATGGTTTAAAACTAGCACGTGCGTGTAATCAGTTCAATATGTTGTATTTGTATTGAATTGATGTATGTGAAATAAGGGCAGTTTAAAACAACTGTAAGTTTATACAATAAACTTTTGTTTAAGTTCTATTTAGTAAGATATTTAAAAAAAAATCATTAAATCGTCAACATCTCGAACTCCACAGGTGTTTAAATTCAGGCTGGATAAGCATCGTTATTCATGAAAACACGAGAATAACGTAGTCGTGGTAGAAAATTCATTGTTCTGTCCTAGTTCCCACTGTCGAAAGTCGTTGTGTAACTTTGATTTTTCGTCCACAAGTTGACGATGAGCATTTCTTTTAAGAGACAAATCTGTTCATCTTGCAAGTGAAGTCTTTCCAGAGATTCACTAAGATAAATTTAAGTTTTCTAAGGTTCAAACAAATCTTGTAATCCATTTTCTTTAGAAAGATAATACTCCTCAACTGATGAGATCGCTAACTGTTTATAAATACACCTGTACTTCGGGTTGGAAGTGCTACGGCGGCTTCGTGAGAAGATAAATGTCTCTGTCATTCAGATTTCTCAGTTCTAACAATTCACGGTGTCTACAGACGTACATTTAACTGTAAAATGTACTGCCCACTTATCAAAGTTTACATATAAAGGGATTACAAGGATCCAAAACGTCATACTTGGCTATTAGATATGTAGAAGTCTTATAATTTCAAACATAAAAGTACTGGTTTATATTGTCTAAACAGTAAAGATTCCTTTAATCGAATGAGATTTCATTCTTTACTGAGCATAAAATGTTGAAATCAGTGTCATTAGCCTTCCCGCCACAACTCGTTGTTACAATGTACCGAGTAAGCTCAGCAGAAATCCAACCAGGTCGTTCCTACAACACTGTTTCTACTATCAGTGTCATTAGCGTTCCCGTCACAACTCGTTGTTACAATGTACCGAGTAAGCTCAGCAGAAATCCAACCAGGTCGTTTCTACAACACTGTTTCTACTATCAGTGTCATTAGCCTTCCCGTCACAACTCGTTGTTACAATGTACTGAGTAAGCTCAGCAGAAATCCAACCAGGTCGTTTCTACAACACTGTTTCTACTATCAGTGTCATTAGCGTTCC